CAAACTTGTTCTAGCAGGGCTCCCATCTGCTGAGAAGGTACTTTGACTCTCCAAGTCCACATATTAGTCAAAATATCACATACAGTGGTAACCCCTAACTTGCTGTGTCATGAAGTGTTCATGTACAGGTTTCGACGTTCGTTCCGACCGTCGCTATGGCTCAAGAAACGATTGCGCCCGCGGTCGTTTCAGCGCTCGTGCACGTCGCTTCGTTCGGTCGCGCCGTGCCATTTCGCTTTCGTGCTTTTCGTGCATTTCGATAGGTTGCCGTATCGCGCTCCCTTCGTTCACACGACACCTCGTTCGCAACGGGTACCAATCCTTCCGGTGTTCCCCGTCGCGTTCCAACCCGTGCCAGGGTTCTCCATACAATAGGATACCTTTCCGAACACCTCCCACTCCGTAGGTTGTGGTGGTTGTTTGGGGCTGATATCCCGGAACCCTTGTCACTTTCATTATATTAAAATATATTAAAGTCTATGTTGGAATGTGACTGGGTTGGGGAGAATGTGTGGCAAAATCCAAGAAGAATCGAGAATCTTGTGGCAAGCAGGCAGGCAAAAGTTCAATGCACTATAGTGTAATTTAATGCCATAATAAGTAATAAACAATGATGTTGTATGGGGGTGTCATAGCGGAATTCATGAATTCGTTTGACATCAGGACTCCATGGTTTTATTTGGCAACTCATGAGTCAGCGCTACTAGATCTACCAGGTCCCAACTTCTTGGTGAAGCATGCGTCTGTCACACCTCACGAGAAAGGAAACCTCACGAGCCTCACGATCCAAAAAGATGCCTCCTGCCAGTCATGAGTGTCTACAAGGTTCAGAACTTTGCAAGGTCATGGGGATTTGATGGGAGTTGGACATGAGTTGAATATCTGTAAAGTCCATCCATCATGTTTCACAGACTCCGTGCACCAATTCTCGAAGGAGGTGACCACCACCAACCTGTGATCCGCCCATCTCACGGCTTAGTTTTCGTTCTGGTGCCGAAGGGGTGCAGCTCGGCCTCCACTTGAGGAAGCCCAGCATCCGCAAGACGATTGAGTCAATGGTCAGCACCGGTAGCCAGGCGGAGTATTTTCGGCCAGAGTTCCTTGGCGGCAGTGTGACTAGGATTTTGCCACTCAAATGGTTTTATATGGCTCTAGTGCGTGGGGAGTGCTCGGAATGTTTTGAGAAGCAATTGAGGGTGGATTGCACAGTTGCATTCAGCCTCCTTTTGCCTTGTTTTT